CCCCCATTACCTGTGTGTTCTTGATAGAGGGCTTTGACGGGTGTGACGTTAGGGAGTTAGTAAGAAAAGCCTGAATTTTGTTTCCTATGGAAACTTCAGATAATCTAACATCCTGCATCCTTCGTAGCGTGGATGGGACCTTGTGTGTGCGCTGGCGGCCTTGTCTCGCACCCCTTGCGTTTTTTCTTAGATCCCCTGCATCGGCTGTTCACCTCCTCTGGCCACGTTTCCCTGTGCCTCCCTCTGACTGAAGTAGGGGAGGGCTGCGTGTGTCTACACTGGACGAGGAAGTGGCTACAGTGGCACCACCGGCTGCCCAGGCTTTTCTTCTTTCCCCTCAGATTCCTGCTGGACAGAGTCAGCTGCTTGTCCGAGGAGTTGATCGCCTCGCGGTTGGTGCCTCTTCTGCTTAATCAGTTGGTGTTTGCAGAGCCAGTAGCCGTTAAGAGTTTTCTGCCTCATCTGCTTGGCCCCAAAAAAGGTGAATTTTTTTCAGAGGATTATTGGTAATTAAGGACTTCGGGTGTTATTAGTCCTTATTTGAGCAGACTGAGATTACTGCATGGTGTAGTTAGAGTATGGCTCCAAAAGAGTCATTGATCCCTGAGGTGATTATCTTGACTCAAACCTGGGTACCAGAGCCCACGGGGTAAATAAGAAGCATCTTCTTGGAGAGTCAGATTTATTGTAGAAGGTGGTATATTGGGAAAACCATACATATACACATACACACACGCACACATAAACACGTAAGATTCAAGTATGCAACGCGCATGAAGTTTTAAGATAAGGCGTACGTCCTCACAGGGCTTTTGCATTTGCAGTTAGGCCTGTGCCTTCTTTTTTTTTAATGTATTTTTTTAACGTTTATTTTTGAGAGCGCGCACGTGAGTGGGGCAGAGCAGAGAGAGAGGGGAACAGAAGATCTGAGGCGGGCTCTGTGCTGACAGCAGAGAGCCCAGTGTGGGGCTCAAACTCACGAACCGTGAAATCATGACCTGAGCTGAAGTCAGAAGCTTAACTGACTGAGCCACCCAGGCGCCCCTTTAATTTTGTTTTTTTTTTTTTTAGAGAGAGTGTAAATGGGGGACGGGCAGAGGGAAGAAAACCTTAAGCAGGCTTCACGCTCAGCGCAGAGCCCAACACAGGGCTCAATCCATGACCCTGGGATCATGAGCTGAGCTGAAATCAAGAGCTGGACACTCAACTGACTGAGCCACCCAGGCACACCTAGGCCTGTGCCTTCTGGCTTCCCAAGAGCAACCCACTTATTTTATATTTTCAGTGGAAAGACTGAAAGGCAGGAGATGACTTTCCTACCTGGAGCTCCAGTTTTTTTCTGAATGTGCAATTAAGGTTATTATTCTGATACTCTGTAACTTCATAAGCACTGTAGATGGGAACGTACCAGGTTAGAGAATTTATTTTCTTAAAAGATCTCCACCCAACAAAGCAGCAGCATAGGTAACTGTTTTACAGCATAGAATTTTGTTACAGCCTTTGTTATTCCCTGAGGGTTTTTGTTTCTGTGTCTGTTTTCAGTTCAACTGTAGCCGACACACATGACATCCGTCTCAGGTCCTGGAGTTTTTCTTCCCAGCTGCCATCCCTTTACTCAGTAGATCTTAGATGGCGGTGTGCTTCTGAATCACCTGGTGACCTTTTTAAAAATGTGCCTGTATGGCCGATCCACTGATGGTGGGACAGCCGGGGCAGGACTATATATGTATTTATTTATTTGTAAAGGCCCCCACATGATTGTGACGGCGATCTCTGATCACCGCTACCATAACTGGCAGGAAGAGAGGACCGCCCGGCATCAAATCCCATTGTGACATTTAACACCTCCTGGTTCTGCAGATGAAATTGCAGCCACGGTCCTTGATCTACCCTAGTATATGAAATTCCTCACTGGTTAAACACAGATGTATAAAGAGTTACTGATTCAGGAGTCCCTTAAAATACGCAAGCTTTCTCTGTTGCAGGTTCAGCGTGGCACAGTATTTCACAAGGCAGAGCGTGTTTAAGGTCGTTGACCCTTGAGTAATCTGAGTCAACCAGAAAGGTGTCCTTTGCTTTGGGGCCTAGAATGTGTGGGAAGCTCTGGGCTCAGTTTCTAAATTATCCTTCATGCTCCTTTTGCTGAAATGAGCATTTGCTTCTTCACACGGAACCGCCTCTGATCGCGGGGTAGACAGCGCGCGGGGAGAAGTGCCTTGCCTGCTGTCGCCGGCCCTGTTCCGGTCGCGGGTGATCCCTGTGCTGCTGCAGCTGTTTGAGGTGCACGAGGAGCACGTGCGGATGGTGCTGCTGTCTCACCTGGAGGCCTACGTGGAGCACTTCACTCCGGAGCAGCTGAAGAAAGTCATCCTGCCACAGGTCAGAGACGGCCGGCGGGCGCGGGCTGGACGGCCGCTGCTAGTTTGGGGGCTGAAAGGAGGGGGCGGGTTCGCAGCACTGAGGTGATAGGTTAGGGGGTCGGGAGGCCCCCGTCGGGTTGAAAAGCTCCTCGGATACCCAGGGCTGAAATTCAGACTGCGTTCCCGTCCCATTCACATAGGCAGATCGATTAAGGTGTTTGGTCTTAAGCTGGGAAAAACCGTAGTTCTGTTTGCTAATTCTTTTGTTCGTTTGTTTTTTTAAGTTTATTTATTTATTTTGAGAGAGAGAGAGAGAGAGAGAGAGGGAGCACAAGCAGGGGAGGGGCAGAGAGAGAGGGAGAGACAATCCCAAGCAGGCTCTGCACTACCAGCACAGAGCCCGATGTGGAGCTCGAACTCACAAACTGTGAGATCGGGACCTGAGCTGAGGTCAAGAGACAGACGCTTAACCGGCTGAGCCGCCCAGGTGTGATTCCTTGGGGAAAGGACCAAGAACCCTTTGTGGATGTTTTGTGACAGAAAGTATACGTGTATACTTATAATTAAGTATAATTAAATACCATATACAATATGGTATAAATACCATATACCATATTTAATTATGGTATAATTGAATACCGTAAACAAATTAAAATATAACCGAGAGGAAGATGAGATTATTCCTACCAGTGGTTTTCAGACTGTCTATCAGCCTCTGGGGAACCAGGTAATGAGTCACCCACTCTGGGGCTCTGGTTTATGTCGGTTTGCCATGGCTGACCTAACAAATAACCACAAACTGCATGGCTTAAAGCCGTAGAAATTCTCTCCCGGGTCTGGAGGCCGGTCTGAACTCCAGGTGTCAGCTTGACTCCCGCCGGTCCCTGCTGTGTCTTGGCTCGTAACTCAGGCCCATCCACTTCGTGGGACTTAGGGCCCACTCTAACCCAGGGTGACCTCATTTTAAGGCCATATTCTGGGTTGCTGCAAACTTTTAGGAGATAATATTCGACTCAGTAGGAGTTCTTTATTTCTTTATTTTTTAAATTTATAGCCAAGTTAGCATATAGTGCAACAGTGATTTCAGGGGTAGATTCCTTAATGCCCCTGACCCATTTAGCCCATCCCCCCTCCCACAACCCCTGCAGCAACCCTCCGTTTGTTCTCCATATTTATGAGTCTCTTATGTTTTGTCCCCCTGCCTGTTTTTATATTAGTTTTGCTTCCCTTCCTGTATGTTCATCTGTTTTTTATCTTAAATCCCTTATATGAATGAAATCATATGATATTTGTCTTTTTCTGACTATTTCGCTTAGCATAATACTCTCTAGTTTCATCCACATAGTTGCAAATGGCAAGATTTCATTCTTTTTGATTGCCAGGTAATACTCCAGTATATGTATATACCACATCTTCTTTATCCATTCATCCATCGATGGACATTTGGGCACTTTCCATACTTTGGCTGTTGTCGATAGTGCTGCTGGGGGTGCCTGTGTCCCTTCGAAACAGCACACCTGTATCCCTTGGATAAATACCTAGTAGTGCAATTGCTGGGTCATAGGGTAGCTCTATTTTTAATTTTTTGAGGAACCTCCATACTGTTTTCCAGAGTGGCTGCATCAGTTTGCCTTCCCACCAGCAGTTCAAAAGAGATCCTCTTTCTCCGCATCCTCGCCAACATCTGTTGTTGCCTGAGTTGTTAATATTAGCCATTCTGACAGGTGTGAGGGGGTATCTCATGGTGGTTTTGATTTGTATTTCCCTGATGATGAGTGAAGTTGAGCATTTTTTCATGTGTCAGTTGGCCATCTGGATATCTTCTTTGGAGAAGTGCCTATTCATTTCTTTTGCCCATTTCTTCACTGGATTGTTTTTTGGGTGTTAAGTTTGATAAGTTCTTTATAGATTTTGGATACTAACCCTTTATCTGATACGTCATTTGCATATGTCTTCTCCCATTCTGTCAGTTGCCTTTCAGTTTTGCTGATTATTTCTTTCGCTGTGCAGAAGCTTTTTATTTTGATGAGGTCCCAGTAGTTCATTTTTGCTTTTGTTTCCCTTGCCTCCGGAGACGTGTTGAGTAAGAAGTTGCTGTGGCCAAGGTCCAAGAGGTTTCTCCTCTAGGATTTTGATGGCTTTCTGTCTTATGTTTAGGTTCTTTATCCATTTTGAGTTTATTTTCGTGTCTGGTGTGAGAAAGTGGTCCAGGTTCATTTTTCTGCATGTCGCTGTCCAGTTTCCCCAGCACCATTTGCTGAAGAGACTGTCTTTATTCCATTGGATATTCTTTCCTGCTTTGTCCAATATTAGTTGGCCACACATTTGATGGTCCGCTTGTGGGTTCTCTATTCTGTTCCATTGAGTTGAGTGTCTGTTTTTGTGCCAGTATCATACTGTCTCAATGATTGTAGCTTTGTAATACAGCTTGAAGTCTGGGCCTGTGATGCCTCCAGCTTCAGTTTTCTTTTTCAAGATTGCTTTGGCTATTCGGGTTTTTTCTGGTTCCATACAAATTTTAGCATTGTTTGTTCTAGCTCTGTGAAGAATGCTGGTGTTATTTTGAGAGGTATTGCATTGAATATGTAGATTGCTTTGGGTAGTATTGACACTTTAACGATATTTGTTCTTCCTATCCAGGAGCATGGAATCTTTTTCCATTTTTTTGTGTCTTCTTCAATTTCTTTCATAAGCTTTCTATAGTTTTCAGTATGTAGATTTTTCACCTCTTCGGTTAGATTTATTCCTAGGTATCTTAAGGGTTTTGGTGCAACTGTAAATGGGATCAATTCCTTGATTTCTCTTTCTGTTGCTTCATTCTTGGTGTATAGGAATGCAACCGATTTCTGCGCATTGATTTTATATCCTGCAACTTTGCTGAATATGGATCAGTTCTAGCAGTTTTTTGGTGGAATCTTAAGGGTTTTCCATATAGAGTATCATGTCACCTGCGAAGAGTTAAAGTTTGACTTCCTTCTGGCCAATTTGGATGCCTTTTATTCCTTTGTGTTCTCTGATTGCTGAGGCTAAGACTTCCAGTACTATGTTGAATAACAGTGGTGAGAGTGGACATCCCTGTCTTGTTCCTAACCTTAAGGGAAAAGTTCTCAGTTTCTCTTCCCATTGAGGATGATATTAGCGTTGGGTTTTTCATATATGGCATTTATGATCTTGAGGTATGATCCTTCTGTCCCTACTTTCTTGAGGGTTTTTATCAAGAAAGGATGCTATATTTTGTTGAATGCTTTCTCTGCATCTATTGAGAGGATCATGTGGTTATTGTCCTTTCTTTTATTGATGTGATGTATCACATTGATTGTTTTGCAAATATTGAACCAGCCCTGCATCCCAGGTATAAATCCCAATTGGTCGTGGTAAATAATTTTTTATTGTATTGTTGGATCCGGTTGGCTAATACCTTGTTGAGGATTTTTGCATCCATGTTCATCAGGGAAATTGGTCTGTAGTTCTCCTTTTTAGTGGGGTCTTTGTCTGGTTTTGGAATCAAGGTAATGCTGGCTCCATAGAAAAAGTTTGGAAGTTTTCCTTCCATTTCTATTTTTTTGGAACAGCTTCAAGAGAGTAGGTGTTAACTCTTCTTTAAATGTTTGGTAGGATTCCCTTGGAAAGCCATCTGGCCCCGGACTCTTGTTTTTTGGGAGATTTTTGATTACTA